GTCCCACTGAAGTCAGCAAATCCTGTGCTTGTTAGATTTGTGGCCTAATTACTAGTTTGGATATTTGGAGTGGCAGATCACTGGTTCCCCAGAGCACCTCAAGACAGCAAGACTAAGAAAAGTGATTGATCTCCATGCATTAAGGCAGAGCTTTCCCTGACCCAAGGGTCTCCAAACTTTTCAGCATGAGGGCCACATCATATATGTTCCACAGAAGGAACATTCGCGTGTGCACATGCATCCATCTGCACACCTGCACACATGGGCTGAAGGGAACAGACCTGAGCCAGTGCACCTGAGCCTGTGATGTTCCCTGGGCTGATAAAAAGGCAAGGCAGGCCGGATATGGCCTGTGGGCCATAGTTTGGAGACTTCTGCCATAACCTGATGACCTCCAGAGGTGTTGAACAATAGCTCCCATCTTGGCTGGAGATGGTTGGAGTCGTATCGTCAGGCCAGCTTGGGAAGACAGGAATAGTGGTGCTGCAAATCTGGAGGGAGCCAGGTTGGAGAAAGCTGCTAGAGAGCATTCAAGGTCTGTCATTTTGCTCATAGTTATAATGACACTTTCAAGAGCGAATGATCACACAGGGATAGAAATAAAACCTTGCTGGAATTGGTTTGTCAATATGGATCAACATGGCTGTCTGCATTTTTAAACTATCCATCTTGGGACAGATGGGTATTGGTCTCTCACAATGAACACCTGAATCTAAAAATTGATCACTAAATCACTGGTGATGGATCATACTTTCCTCCTGTTTCCAGCATAAGCAGGAGCTCCTTGAATTATCCTAATCTGGTCAGCTACCAATGCTGCCTGCATGAGCATTCTGCCCCTGCCTTCCAGGTGATCAGGTAGGTAATGTAGGCTCCGTCTTCTAGACACCCTATTATTCAGTCTCTGGCTGTCTCAGAGGCAACTCCCTGGTCTTACTCTGAGAAGCAATGTTGTTACAATCTCTCCAGAAATGTGATCCTGCTAGTTCCGTAATGTGGATGCTTAAGTCCCACGGAAGTGTATAAGTTGGGTGATGGGGCTAAGGCGTTTAGAGCAGGGTAGGGAAACTTTAACTGTCCAGACATTCTGAATTTCAGCTTCTGGAGCCTACAAGCCCAAGGGTAAGAGATTATCTGAATTGTAGTATGAAGTGGTTCCCAAATTTGGGTGACTCCTGTGTTTTTTTACTGCAATTCCCAGAAATCCAGGGCAGCACAGCTAGTGGTAAATTGAGGCCCAAGAACTCCTGGGTTAACCAAGACTGGAAGCCACTAGCATAAACTATAGGAAAGATCAAAGATTATCTGCATCGAGTTTAAGATTATTGAAGAAGAAGAAGAAGAAGAAGAAGAAGAAGAAGAAGAAGAAGAAGAAGAAGAAGAAGAAGAAGAAGAAGAAGAAGAAGACACACAATACTTCCACCTTCCATGTTTTGCTTTTAGTAAACAGGACTGAAAAAGGCAACTTTTTAAAATAAGATGTCTACCTTTGCATTTGATTAACACAGGAAAATCCTATACATCTATTCAGAAGTGTATTGCATTAAATTCAATGGGATTTAGTCCCAAAGGAGTCTGTGTAACATTACAGCTCTAATTACTACTTTTCCATTTGAGTAAATAAACTGACAAAAATGAAATCACTGCAATCCAAAGCTGTCATCTATAATTCAATACAGAGGTAAGTACATTTATAACCAGTCATTCCAAAGGATACCTAATTCTGTGTTGGATTCTGACACTTCTTTGTAGGAGGCACCGTAATTCAGCTTTCAGTTATCTAATAATGGAAAATAAAAAACAGGCCATCTAGGGGAGCTCAAATTGGAATTCCCTGAACTGCATTTATATGCTGAATCAACAACAATCCCTGGAAGAACCCTGGGCACCTGAATACAAAGATATAATATAATACCTTACTAATATCATGTTTCGGTTTCTTCGTGTTTCTATTTTTCCTCAGGAAAAAACAAGGACAGCATCTCTGCAGTCTTTTGGCTACGCAACTGCAGTCCCCAAACTCTGGCATTTGTCTTCCTTTGAGCTCTTCCTGCTTCATCCAGGCTGTTATCATCCTTCACACTGCATCCAACCCCCAAGTCTACTTTTGGTACCCTGGAAACCTATCCGTAATGTACACACCCAGATTCTGCATGGCAGGGGGTGGGTGGAGGAGCAAGCTGAGGCATCACAGCCACAGAACAAAGCATCTCTTAGAGCAGCCCCCATGGAAGGCCAACTCGAAAGACCTCTCGGCAAGAAGAAGAGGAAGGGGTGGAATGTGTGCAGGAGAGAAGCAAAGCCGTTCAGCAAACTTCCCATATGTTTGGCTCCTACTATAGGTTGTGCACAAAAATTCCACCCCATCACCCCTCTTTAGTGACTTAGCCCTGAATATATAAAAGTTTGAGTGCCTCATTTATCACTTAAGATTATTCCCATCTTTGTTAAGACAGCGTTTTCTCTCTGCTTCTGATTTCCACCTACCTAAGAACCTGTATCTTTCACCTACAAATAGAAACAAGTCTGAGTGATAGCTAGACACTCTTTTCTCTCTTTTTTTTAAATGGAGGCATTCACTGTTTTGTGTGTGTGTGTGTGTGTGTGTGTGTTTCTTCCCAAACATCCTGTAGGCGGTCCTTGATGTAAGCTGAAACCACCACAACGCTGGATAGAGCTTCATTTGAATGTCTGCAACCTCATCCCACATTCTATCTCAAGATTCTCATCATGACTTCAAAGTGAAATCATCCTTCCCCTCCCCCATCTTAGTATCTTCATTACACTTCAGCTCTTGAAGAGATCTGGAGGTCTTGACAGTGAACTCTGCACTATTTTGTGACCTTTAATATGGCTTAAGAAATGTTGGGCCTTTATTTAATCAACCTTAAAGATGTGGAATTTGATTTAAAAGCAATTAGACAGCTTTATATAACCAAGACTTTTGGAGTATTGTTATATGTGATGGTGAAAGTAAGTGGTATGTTTCCTGCTTCTGCAATGTAAAGGTAACATTTCTATTTTGTACTACAGTGGTTCCCAATCTTAAATAACCTAGATGTTATTGGACTGCAATTCCCAGCTACTTGTGCTAGCCAGGGTTTCTGAGAGTTGCAGTTCAAGAACATCTGGGTTGCCCAAGGTTGGGAACCACTGGTCTGGAAGGAAGATTTGATTTTTAGTGTACCTGTGACTGTATAACTCTCTGAAGAGTAACAGGATGACTTTCTCATTGCTTTTTCCTATATGAGCATTGCTTACACCTTTCCCAATCTCACCACAACCTTACATTGAACTTCACATATTGCATATGCTTACTGTAGAAAACCGATGCTGACTGGAGGCAGTCTTTATGATTTAAAATAGATTTCTGTTTTGCATGTACCATATTCGCACAACAACCAAAATGATGGTCAAGAGGTTCAAAGCTATGTTGTAGTACAGGGGTTCCCAAACTGTGTGGTATGGCTCTAGAGGGTGCTTGTGAAACCCAGGCAGGGACGCCATGGGAAAAGGGATGTAACATAGAGCTGTGAACATTTTAGAGAAGCTGTTTATAATGCTATTATTAGATCCTCTATAGCTTTCAAAGCTCTATGTCTAACAGGAAGTGGAGGCCATGTGCCCGCCTCTCCTTTCCCCATCTCTATGGTCTCCAGTGAAAGTGCTTGCAGGGTAGCCTTTGGAGTTTCCTGTGTCAGGACCTGGAAGGAGGTCAGTCCTCAGGGAAATGGATGGGGAGGAGACGGGATGGCTTGAGGAGGGTCAAGATCCTGCTCCTGCTGGGAGAGAGTGCCCTGATGGCCCCTCCAAGCAAGGGGTGCCACTGCCAGTGTTCAGCAAATGAAGCCACAAGGCCAAAATTTTGGGGAACCACTGCTGTAATATGCGGTGCTGCAATGGCTAAACAGCATGCTCTGAATCATGTTCAGCCAGAAGTAAGTCTCAACAAAAGTGAGGTTTTCAAAGTGCAGTAGCCCAGTCCTGGCCAAGTTCAATTAGAAGCCCCATTGATTTGATTGAGACATTCTCCAGGAAGTGTATTGAGTGCTGGGAAACAGTTGGGTTAAGAAGGTATGGTTGCTGTTGTTCTTGTACATTTTTTAAAAAGCAAGCCTGTGATTAAAATCATAATTATACACTAAGGACAGGATCCTGTTACCATGGTTTTAATCCAGTTACTAGTCCAGTTGGGGCAGATCTCTTGACTCAGTTGCTAAATGGTGAATCAATACTTACGTAGATCCCAGTGGCCAGAATCTCACTGATGATTTATACTTGAACAAGGAAAAATGTGCAAGTTGCCATACCAAGTTGCTGCCAACTGACAAGTGGGGTGCCCCAGAATGCAACCAGCTCCTAGTTCAGGAGTTTGTTGTTACAGACTTACATGGTTCCCCTTAAGTGCAAACTGCCCAAAGGATTCTAGCCAGTGATCCACTTGGTTGGCTCCAGCTGGGAGGAGCCATTGGAGAGAGGTCCATGCTCCCAAACGAAAGAGTAGCAAGTGTAAAACAGGACTTGTGCTTTCACTGAAGCTAATCATGCTCTACAGCAGTGGTTCTTAACCTTTGTTACTTGGATGTTTTTGAACTGCAACTCCCAGAAACCCCAGCCAGCACAGTTGGTGGTGATGGCTTCTGGGAGTTGCAGTCCAAAACTCCTGAGTAACCTGAGGTTAAGAACCAGTGCTCTACAGACTGTTGAGTTAGGCCAGGAAAAGTGCAGGGTTCAGGGGCCCACTTGGCCATAAAGTTCATTGAGCCACAGAGCCCCCTTGGGCTACTTAACACTCCAGGCCTATTCTATCTGACAAGGTAGTGTGTGGTGACAAAAAGGAGACGGCCTGAAAGAGAGGTGGTCTAAAAATGTAAGCAGCAAATAAAACCAGCAAATAACAAACGCTCCAATCACCCGCTTGGATTTTGGCCCTGCTCTGCCCAAATGGGCTTGGGGCTGCCAACCCCTGGCACACAGCTGAAAATCAAGAGGTAACATACCCACTTTCAGCTCTTTTCCGAAGACCGTCCTCTCGCCCAAGGCCGAGCAATTCCACCGCCCATTGCGGAACTGGAACTGGCATTCGTTGATGCCCATTTGGGAGCCTTCGCCGATCACGATGATGGCATCGGGTCTGCTCTGGCAGATCGCCCTCTGCCGAGGAGCTAAACCCGGGATCTTGTTACAGATGATGCTGGCTCCCAGAGCCACGACGGAGGAAAAGCCCCTAAAACAAAAGAAAAGGGGGGGGCGGGAGAGAGAGAGAGACTGAGAAGTGTTGCCGTAAGACCATCTTAGGGAAACACGTGTGCACTTAAACACACACGTACACACATCCCGCCCCGCACGGTTCGTCATCGGTGTCAACCGACCCCTAAAGAAGGCTCTTCAAGTTGAAACGGCTCTTTGGAATGAGCTCAAAGTGGCAGCAACTTGATCAACTTCAAAGGACAGACACAGATGCCTTTTTTTTTACCCTCGGAGCTTCTGATCTGCCCATCAAGGCTCGACAGTAGCTTATCATCGAGTCTCTGTGTGTAAACACGTGCGCGCGCGCGCACACACACAACACGCGCGCCCAACTAGATAGAAGTAGTGTAACTTTTCACCAGTCCAAATGGCTTGGAGCTTCATTTGCGACATCTACCTCTCCTGCCACGAGAGCTAAATAAAAGGAGTACTGGATCACAGTCTGAGAAAGTTCTTTTCTGAACTACAGGACCCAGAATCCGCCAGGCAGCACGGCTATGGGCGTTGTAGTTCAGAAAAACAATACTTTTCAGTAGTTCAGAAGTAACTGGACTACAGGTCTCGGAATCCTCCAGGCCTTATACTCCATTAAAGTAATTTTTTCCCAGCGTTGCCCTTTTCTCTCAGGCGTCCGCTGCTCACCCCAAACCCACACCCCCCAGCGTTAAAGTTTGTTGATGTCAGCCGGCAGGCCGTGGCACATACTCGAGCCAAACCGAAAACATCATTTTACTCCATGCAACCCAGAAGATATGCCCGACGCTGCGCCGCCACTTGTCCGTCGGTCTCTCAGTCTGCCGGCCTGCTTGCCTGCCGGCCCGTCCCGGCGGTCCCTCCCTCCGGAACCCGGGCGGTGATTTAAAACGATGGGAGAGCAGGAAGAGGCGTATCGGATTGGGGGGAGGGGGGAGGCACCTGAGCCTTCCCCCACACACACACACACACACCACTCCCTCTACACAGGCGATCCCGGGACGCGTGTGCGTGTTGTCCGCCCACATCAAACACCAAGAGGTTGCCAACTCCCTGATAAGCTCAATGAAAAAGCTCCCGGCCATCCGCCGCCTTGCCTCCTAGCACTCGCATCGCAGGCAAAAAACTCAGGATCGCGCGTGCGGTTCCAAATCCTGGGCTGCGGGAGCGCCAGGCCTCTCTCAGAAAGGAAAGGAAGGGGGTCGATCTTCCAGGAACGGCCTCACCTCCTCCTTCCACACGCCTGCCGGCGTCATATAACACACACTTCACGTGCCTGCGGTAGCTGTTGAGGAATGCGATACAGGACATATGACACAGAACGCACCTGTGTTATGTGTGCGCGCCTTTGCGCGCTCGTGCTTGAGCCGGCGCTCACACACACACACGCACACACACACCAGGCACTCGGGCCAGATTGAGGCGTGTATATTATCATTTCTACGGTACTTTAAGCACACACACGCCATCTCCAAGGCGCGCTGTTTGAATGAGCGGACCGGGAGAACATGAGCGACCGGAGTATGTTTGATGGTAGGGTTGGTGGTCCATGGAAAGGAAGGAAACCCGCTTTCAGGTGGAGGATGGGCTGAAAGGAATACGCCAGCCTTCGCGTTTGGGGCCACCTGAGCCACTAGGTGGTGGTGGGGGTACCGTCCAAAGTCAGAAAGGAGCTGTGGGTGCAGAAGGACCCGAGACCCACCAGTGATCTCTGGGGAGCGCTGACCAGCCACCGAAAATGCGACTTCTCAGTCTGTGGCTTGCGGTGGAGCCACCGCAGTCACAGAGAGAAAAGTCCATGAGCTCCGCTCTGGAAAGGCCGAAATTAAATCAGGGAAAGTGTTTCCCCAAGGTGCCTCCGAGCATGTGCAAAGCGCTTCCCAGTTCCTTCCCCGCGCAATCACAGACAGACAGACAGACTCTTCTCAGTAGGCGGAAGGCTTGCACCCACCTACCCCCTCTCCTCCCCCACCCCCTCGACAAATGACCCTAAGGATCTCCTCGAGAGAAGGAGGAGGGGGACGCGGCCGTGCCCGATCCGCCGCCCCAGCGCTCCCTCGGGCGCCCGCCCCTGCTTTGCCCGGCCGTCTCGAGAGCAGCGGGGCTCACTTTCGGCAGCCGGCCCGGGCGATCCGGCCTCGGAATGGCCCAAGGCTTCCCGGAGCCCATTGCCATTCCGGTCATGCCTCTCGCTTTCTCGCCTTTTCCTCGAGCCACACACTTCGGATTTCATTGGGAACCAAGAGCAATACGAATCGTATTCTTAACCCGGGCTTTGAAGAAAGGAGAAAGAAAAGAAAAACAAGCCACCTTTCAGACTTTTCCCCAAGTTGGTGAATACTAACAGGTCTGGGCACGTTGGGCGCACCGTGTTTGCACTGAAAAAAAAAGGGGGGGGAGCCGGAGACTTGCAAGACAGAGAGAAAGAGAGAGAAAGAAGAGGCGACTTACCCAATTTTTATATAGACAATCCCTAGACTCAAAAAGATGTGGAATATCCAGCGTCTGGTTTTCCTGTTCATATTCCTCGTTTGTTGTTGGTTTTCAGGCCAACATGCGAAATGATGTCTTTAAGCAAACAAAAACCAAAACAAAAGAGGGGGGGCGATCGACCTCGTAGTTTTGGGGAGCCCCCTGGCCGCCCCTCCTTCTTTCCCCCCTCTTTCTGCGGTGGTCAATTTCGCGGTGCCTCAGACAGGGCAACGCCAGGTCACCGTCGCGCAGACAAAACAGGCCGGCCCTCCTGCGAACCGAGCCACCCGGAGCGAGCGGGCTGGGTGCGTGCGTGTGTCTCTGTGTGTCTGTGTCTGTGTGTGTCTGTGTCTCTCTCTGTGTGTGTTTGTAAATCCCGAGCGGCGATCACACCAGAGCCCTCCAGCGGGTCTCTCTTCACCGCCTCTCTCTATTCCGGATTTGTATGCCTGTCACACGTAACCCTTGAGAGCGCGCTAGGGGAAAGGCACGGGGGGCTCCTCGGCTCGCTCCCGGCTCCTCTTCGCGGCGGCAGCGGCGGCGGCTCGGGAGGCTTTCCCCTCAGGTTCAACGTTACTGTCTATTTTCTTTCCCTCCCTCGCGCTTCTCCTGCTTCCTTGGGCGTGTTCTCTCCGGAGGAGGGAGTCGTCCAGCCGGGGGTAGGGTGGGAAGGGAAAGAAGGGAGCGCGTTTGGGGCTGGGGTGAGTGAAAGGACGGGATGGCGGCGGCGGAGGAGGAGGAGGAGGAAGCGCGCGCACCGATCACCTGCTTTGCAAGCAATAAAAGCAGTAGCGCCGGGAGCGGTCTCACAAGTGGCTCTTCTCCCTCCGCCGAGAAGGAGGGTTTACGGATGCTTCCCCCAGGCTGGCCGGGGCGGGATCAATGCCTGATCAATGTCCACTTTCTACGCGGCTGGTCTTCACCGAGAACCCCATGGGCAGGCTCCAGCCCGTCCAGCCCCTCCATCATCGTCCTCTCTCTCTCTCTCTCTCTCCATCCATCGACCCGTCCAGCCCCTCCATCATCATCCTCTCTCTCTCTCTCTCTCTCTCCATCCATCCATCCACAAGCACGCTTCAATACGTTCAGGCTTCTCTTCGCGTGGATTCCGATGCTCCGCGTCCTTTCCTCCCGCTTTTCCTCCCAGCCAGGCCAGGTTCACCTGCCCCCTGCCCGGGGACTTCTCTCCCCCTCGCAGCCCTCTTTGCTCCTGAAGGGTCTCGAAGGCTGATCGAGCGGAGGCGGGAGAGGGACCTAACATCCCCGGCCGGCAGGTGTGCGACCTGCCCGAGCTTTGCCCAACCCCCACCACAGCCCCGCAGTCCTAGGCACGCTCGTCACCCCGAGCAACCCGATGAGGTAGGTCTTCGGGGCTCTAGACGGCTGCCTTTGGCGGCCCTCTGAGGGGGTAGGGGCGTTTTGCGTGTGGCCCCCTCCCCGCTCCAGACTCGCCGATCTCCACCCGGGACTGAGCCCACGCTCCCTTATCTCATCCCGACGAGCCTCATTTCTTAGGTAAAAGACAAAAAAGAGGGGGCGCAGGAAGTGTAACTGCGTGTGTGTGTGTGTGCAGGAGACACTAGTTGATCACCCCGTTCTGACGTATAGGACTCACACTCAACACCACACAGTCGGTCTGCCCGCCTATACTTAAAACGATCAATAAACCTGGGAGGGGAGGGGCCAAGCACCTCCCTCCCCCCTCCACTCCGCGGACACACCGGGCACTGGTGAAGAGGGAAGGGGACGTGTGGGGGGGATCGGGAGGGAGGGAGGGAGGGAGAGAGAGCTGCGCGCAACATCCGCGGCGGCGCAGCCCGCGGCTTGCTGGGCAGGAGCGCGACGGGCTCGCCTGCGGAGTTCCGCGCACCCAACGACAGCCAGAAGCTCGGGACCCTTTAGGACGGTCCCATCGGCCGCCTCCTGTCCCCCAGACGAGACTCCCCGACAGGCGCGGGCCCCCGAAGCAAAAGCCTATGGTTGCTTCGCCCCTTTGGCCGGCCTTTTGAGCAACTTGCCTGTGAGAGGATTGCCTCCCCTCCCTCCCCCTGCGCCCGCAAAGCCCGCACCCAGGACCCGGGAGGCGGTGGGGGGCGCCTCTCGCGCCCAGGGAGCCTGCCAGGGGATTCCCTGGGGCCCGGGCAACCCGGAGCAGCCCTGCAGCCCCGCAGCGGGAGGGACGGGCAGCGCTGCGCGGGAGATGCCCGCTGTCC